AGTCAGAGCAGTGGCCTGAGCTGTGGGAACGCCAGTGTCAGCGACTGGGCCAAAGGAAGAGTAAGAATGGCTCTGCAGCCCAGAAGTTCGGGCACCCCCCGGGTAGGGGGAGACCCCAGTCCTGTGCCCCTGCTCCTGTCCCTCTTTCACGACTTAAAGGGACTCACTGTAGGTGCCTAAGTCGGGGGGGTTGACCCCCCCCTAAGTCCCTTTGTGGATCTGGGTCCCCATTCTCAGTCAAAACTCGTCATCGAGCCGGGCCAATGAATGTTGGCAAAGGGGCAACACCTTCCCAACCCCCACACCCCAGTTTTTCACCAAATGCTGAGCTCCTCGCTCTGCTTTGATACCCCCCATTCCAGCCACCCGCCTATTGCTCTGCCCCACCACCACACACACACACACAGCTGCTGGGGCTTTGCAGACAGGAAGGGCTGTGGAGAGCAATGCAGAGTTCCTACCCCAGGTCTGGGCCCAGCTTGTGAGGAAAGGGCTCTCTAGACCCACCGGCAGCCCCAAAGGCTTGGAGCAGTGTGTGCTGAGGGCCCCATTCCTCTCAATAGGGTGTTCGCACTGCGTATGGCATTGTGCTGACGCATAACCCAGAAGAATCGCTTGGAGCTCTCAGCACTGTCTGTGCTGTGTGTCCAGCACACCCATTCCCCAGGCCCAGGCCACACCTGGTCCCCCATGCCAAGTACTGCCCTGTCCGTTGTGATACCAGCCTGTGCCATTGGCAGTGTTCCCTGTAAGCTGTGCACATGTGCGGCCACTCAGGAGAGAGTTCGACACTGCCCCGCTGATTAGCAGAGTGCCCACAGCTAGGTTTGTGTTTCTAGTGGTGGTGCCCATTCACACATGCCTCATGCACAGAAAAAAATACATTCAACACATGGATGGAAAAAAAACCGCACATGGATGAAAAACATGAGGGAACATTGCCCATAGGGCACATGTGTAACCCACACACCTAGGATATGTCTAGACTACATGCCTTTGCTGACAGAGGCATGTAAAATAGGCTACCCGACATAGTCAATGAAGCGGGGATTTAAATATCCCCAGCTTCATTAAAATAAAAATGGCCGCCGCGCTGTGCCGGCTCAGCTGATCGTCAGCACAGCGCGCGAGTCACGACGCGGATCGGTCGACAAGGGAAGTGGCACGTAAACCGCTTACAATGAGAGATAAGAACAAGGGAGCTCTAGAGCGTAAGCTGAGCGGCAGCTGGCTGTATAGCTCAAGCTGTAGTAGCTCCTACACTGAGATCCCGGATTCAAATCGGCCTCCTGGCAGTTCTATATGCACAAGGGGGCTGACTTAAGGCTGTAGGTACAGCCTCGGTTCTGGCAAGACAGAGAGACCGGGTTTCCTGTTGCAGAAGCCACAGTAGTGAGGCTGTTTCTTAGCAAAGCTGCCGGATGGTTTGTTCTGTTTCTAATGGTTGTCTCTACCAGCCTGACGGGGCTGTAAGCCCCTGGATCTCCCCTCGAGCCCCTTGTAAATATAGCTACAACATTTGCTCCCCTCCCATGTGCTGGAGCAGCAGCTGCTTTTAATGAGAGGACATTTTTTTGCTAGTAGCTCAGCTTCTTCAGGATCCAGGGCTGGAAAGCAGCTGGGCCCAGGGACTTACTGCTCTTGGCAGCAAAGTGCTCACTTACTCTTGCTCCACAGGCTCCATAGCCTGGAATTCTGCCCCGGCTCTGAGAGATAGGAGCAGCCCAGCCCCTGTGCTCTAATGCACCTTCACCAGGGCAGGGCGTCCGGCCCGGCTGCTCGAAGGGCTGTGTCCATGGGGAAAGCCAGGCAGTTTGGTGTGGTAGGCCATTGTGGGTGGGAGAGTTAGGTATGTATGTTAGGACGTTGTGTGTGTGGGTTAGGTGTGCGTGTAAATGGGTCAGGTGTGTGTATATTAAGCCATTGTGTGTGTGTGGAGGAGTTAGGTTTGTCTGTGTTAGGCCACTGTTTGTGGGTGTTTTAGGTAGGTGTATGGATGTGTTAAATGTGTGAGAGAGAGTGAAGCCATTCACCGTAGGTATGTTAGGGTGTGTGTGTGTGTGGGGGGATTTGTTGGGGCAGACCCACCGACAGGGAGGACAAAGGGGGCAGTCGCCCCAGGGCCTGTTGATTCAAAGGGGCCCAGGGCTCCAGCCACCACTTCACTCCGAAGGTTGGCAGGGGGAGAGGGGTTGCGCAGTACAGGCTGCACTGGGGCTGGCTGCCCTCAGCCCCACCCCTTCTACCTGAGGCCTTGGGCCTTCCAGAGTAGGGTTGCCAGGTGTCCAGTATAGAACCAGACAGCCCGGTATTTTCGCCTCCTGTCCAGTAAAAAAATTCAGAAAATGCTGGACACCTAACGGCTACGTCTACATTGGCCCCTTCTCCGGAAGAGGCATGTTAATTTCCAACTTCAGAATAGGGAAATCCGCGGGGGATTTAAATATTTAAATAACCATGCCCGCCGCTTGGGGAAAAGCCGGAAAAAAGAGTCTAGACTGGCGCGATCCTCCGGAATAAAGCCCTTTTCCGGAGGATCTCTTATTCCTCTTTTGAAGGGGTGGAGCAGAGGCAGGGCCTGGGGCTCCGGAAGAGGCATGTTAATTTCCAACTTCAGAATAGGGAAATCCGCGGGGGATTTAAATATTTAAATAACCATGCCCGCCGCTTGGGGAAAAGCCGGAAAAAAGAGTCTAGACTGGCGCGATCCTCCGGAATAAAGCCCTTTTCCGGAGGATCTCTTATTCCTCTTTTGAAGGGGTGGAGCAGAGGCAGGGCCTGGGGCGGGGCGGGGGCAGGAAGGCGGGGGCGGGCATCCCAGTGCCTCACCACCCTCCTAGTGAAATAGTTTTTCCTAATATCCAACCTGGACCTCCCCCACCATAATTTGAGACCATTGCTCCCTGTTCTGCCATCTGTCACCACTGAGAACAGCCTCTCTCCATCCTCTTTGGAAACTCCCTTCAGGAAGTTGAAGGCTGCTATCAAATCCCCCCTCACTCGTCTCTTCTGCAGACTAAACAAACCCAAATCCCCCAGCCGCTCCTCATAGGTCATGCGCTCCAGCCCCCTAATCATTGTGGCCTCACCAGAGCTGAATAAAGGGGAATAATCACTTCTCTAGATCTGCTGGCAATGCTCTTCCTAATGCAATAGTTATGCTTTTGTCATAAGCCTCCAGCACTGGGTAAATCTCCGGAGAGGAAGGGCTAAGCTGCCTGGGAACAGGCTAAGTAAGGGAGCTGACCCAGCCTTGGGTCAGCAAAGGATCCTGCGGGGGCCACACTCGGCCCCTCCCCCACCTGGGCACTCCCTCTAACCCTGAGACAAATCCTGGGGCTGGGCACAGGGAAAGGATCATCTCAAAGGTCAGGGGCACATTCTCGGAGGGAGCAGCCAGAGCACCCCGCCCCCGCACTCACAGAGCCCTTAGTCCCAACCCGCAGCCCCTGCTAAGCCAGCCCTGGGTGGCCCAGTGCCTCACAGCCCCTGCTCCAGCTCACCGCCTCTGTGCGTGGAATGCTCCGGGGGTCTATTTCGGGAGGTGTCTATCCTGGCAGCACAAGTGTTGTGTGTCCTGCCAGCAGGGTATAATTGTATTGAACGGAGTCGACTAGTTGTTAGAGGCAAAGGCGCTCAGACCCTAAGAGCCTAGAGAGAGCCCGAGAAACTGGGATCCAGGACTTCTGGTTTTATGCCTAGCTCTGGGAAGGGAGTGGGGTGTAGTGGTTAGAGCAAGGGGGGCTGGGAGCTAGGACTGGGGGAAGGTCCACTCACAGCCCCAGAAGGGCCTGAATTTTGTGCTGCTCTAGGATAGGCCTGTGTCTGTCTTGTCAGGGGTCCTTGTCCCATTCCAATCTGATCCATCACCACCCCTGCCAGCTGCTCGCCGCTGCCCTGACCCAACCTGCATGGACTGGTGGAATTAATACTTGACAGCACATTAGCAGCACCTGGGCTTGGCTGGTGGCTGAAGAGGAAAGGTCAGGCAGCTGCCTCCCAGCAAAGACTTCCGTGCACTGCTCTTGTTTGCATAGCCAGCTGATGTGTTTACTCCCTGAGCGGAGATTGATGGTTGAGACGGAACGGAGGGAACGTTACCAGCCCTGCCAGGTTGACAGAGCGGGAGAGGCTCTCTGGAGTTGCCCTCTAACCCACCAGCCCCCACCCCATTACCAGAGCTGGGGTGGGACCCAGGAATCCTGCTGCCCGTATGTAGCCAGTTCTTTCCTTCTTGGGCCCTGGGTGGGGCAGCAGAACGTAGGTGTCTGTCCCTCATGGGTAAGTTGGCGGTATTCGCTGGCAAGGTTGCCAGGAGATGTGTGATGGAGTGAAGTGGCCTGAGGATGGTGGGGTATAAATAGCTGCCCGGAGCTGGAAATAGCTCCTGAGTGACCTGTGTGATGCTGTGGCTTGGGGGTCAACAATCCAAAGCCGTGCAGCTCCTGTGTGACCCCTCACTGGCTCCCAAAGATCGGCCAGGGGGACCAGTGACTCCAGGGGGCTGGGGTGGGGGCAAGGCAGGAAGCCAGTGCAGCTAGCACAGGCTCCCAGCCCCAATCCCATCGCAGGCAGTGTTTGGGGGGTCTGGCATAGATGATTTGGTGGAAGGGGCATGTTCCAAAGGGAGCTGGCACAGGGCATAGCAGGGGACAGTGAGTTGGGAGTGCTAGTATAGCAAAGGATAGGAGTGTGACAAAGTGGGAATTTTCTATGATATTTTTATGAGTCCTATGTGTGCCTCGGTTTCCCCTATGTGTGGTAAAACATAGCTGCCTCATAGGGGGAAAAGGGTCTGCATCTATGTCCATCCAATTGTCCTGTCTGGATGGAACTAAGTTAAGGAACCGACTCAGATCAGCCCAGGACCAGAGAGACCATGCAGTTGTAACTCCTAGCTGGACAGTCTCTGCCAGGACGCTGGATGCAGACCCAGGCTGGCGAACACAGGCCTGGGAGGCGGGGGTTACATGTTGACTTCTGGAAGAAGCTGGGAGCTCTCATGAGTTCAGTTCAACTCGTGCACTATCCTGGGCGACGCCGTTAACCCGGCCGAACCTCCATGTAGCCCGCGCCAGGTCAATGGGGGAGTTCTCGTCTCGCGGGGAGGTGGATTGGCCACACTGATCCCCTCCTGTCTGCATCCGCAGCATCTTCACAGACATCTACAGCAGCGGTTCAAGTGCAGACAAGCCCTAAGGAAGAAAGCCCCAGGGCCTGAAAAGGGTGACTGAGTTCTCCAGGGCTGGAACTCCCATGGAAATAAAATAGTGGGTGCTCAGTACCCACCAGCCACAGCAGATTGTGTCCCCCCCATTGGCTGTTTGGTGGCCGAGGGAGGAGCTCAGGGGAGGGGAAGAGCAGCAAGCAGGCCGGGGTCTTGGTGAGGGGGGACGGATAGAGGTAGAGTGAGGGTGAGGTCTGGGGGGGAGGCTGGAGCTAGGGAGGAGACTTGGGGGAGAGGAAAGAATGGGGATGGGGCCTTCAGGCTGAGTAGGGATGGAGTGCCCCAGGGAAAAAAGAACTCAGTGCCTCTGGCGTTCCCTACAGCTCGGCTGAGCTCGGGGCTGACCAGACCTGGCTTTGCTTGCCCCTTCCCCTCTCTGTGCTGCCCTGAGGAATCCTCGTGCCATGTGCCCCGGCTTAACAAACCTGACTGCATTGAAACCGCCACCCGTTGTAATAGGGGACCAGGCCAGCAGCCTCGGCTAGCTCATTTTCCACAATACAGTCACCCAGTGCCCCAGCTCACCCCCGCTCTGCTCCCTGCAGCACAGGCCCCGAGCACTGCTCTGGGCATCAAGGCCAGCACTGACTGCCAGGGGAGAGCACCTCCTACTACCCCCTCCCTACAGCACAGCTCCCCCCTAGCGCTGCCCTGGGCCTGGGGCTAGCAGTGACTGCCAGGGAGAGCCCCCCACTCATTGCTCTTGCTGGAGGAGGCAATTGACCCGAGCTCAGTTTTGCTCTGATTCAGAACACACCCAAATCTCCCAATATGTTGTGCAAGCCCCAGAAACGCCAGCTCTGTTGCCATGGAGGCAGAGGGCCGCTGACCAGGGCCGGGACCTTGACGCCAGTGGTGGGCCCTCCACACCGGGCTAGTCTGAGCCAGGCTGGTGATTTGGGGCCTCAGACCCGCCATGCGCGACGCCGCTTGGTTCTCCCCCCCAGCGCCACACCCCCTGGGGACCGGCATGGGCCGCGGGCCAGAGCCAGCGACAGGTGGCAGCTTTCGGAGCTGCGGGGGAGGAGTGGGATTAGCTGCTAACCAGCTTTCATAATGGGGTCAGAGATCAGGATGTGATGACAGGACTTGAGCAGCGGGAGGTGGGCGGGTGGGCCATGCAGCACGGGGTTGGGGAGGGTCCTGCACTGTAGCCAGGGCAGGAAAGGTCATGGAGCCCGGAGGGGGTGCCCTGCAGTCAGAGGAGTAAGGGGATCCCTGCAGCTGGAGGGGGTCCTTTCAGTGTGTGGGGCAGGGCAGGGAGCACTGGCCACTGTCGGGCTAGATCAGTGGTAGCCAACCTGGGGCCCGAGGGGTTCTGAGAGACATTTTGTGACCGTAGCCAGATTCCGCTGGTTGCCAGAGTCCGGCAGGTTTTCCCGACCGGTGTTACTAACGTGACACGCACGTAAAGCCAGGCCACGTGAAGCGAGGTGGGTGCTGATTGCACACAGCCTTGTGAGAGTTGCGCACTCCCTCTGCAGCCTATCACGGCGCTGCTACCGTTCAGTCAGCACCCCAGCAAATTCTTGGTACAGACATGCAGTAGCAAAACGACCCCATCCCAGGAAGCCATCTTGGTTACGACAATCTTGCAGCCCACTGAGGTGAAGGAGGCCACACATGCAGCCCCCTCCCTAGCCTAGGTTGCTCCTCACCCAGCTAGATGGAGCTTTGGTCTGACCCAGCATTGGCCAGTCTGCTGTTATGTTGGTGGTGGGGCTGTCCTTGGAGCTGGTGTGGGGAGTCCCTGCAGTGTGGGTTGAGGGAATCCTTGCAGCCAGGTAGGGGGAATCGCCCAGTCATCAGAGAAACATCTGCTCCCTGACAACATCTGCTCCACAGGCAGCGACAGTCAAAAAAAGCAAGCAGAGTATTAGGAACCGTTAAGCAAGGGCTATATAATGAAAAAGAAAATATCACAATGTGTTTCTGTAACTCCACGGTGCGCCCCTACCTTGTACACAGTGTGCAGTTCCGGTTACCCCATCTCAGAAAACATCTCTTGTAAAAGGTACAGAGAAGGGGCAACCAAAATGATGGGGGGAGAAGAATATAAAGCTGGGGACTGCTCAGCTTGGAAAAGAGATGGCTAAGGCTGAATATGACAGAGGTCTGCTAAAATTCTGACGTGGAGAAAGAGAGTAGGAAAGTGTTATCAGCCCCTTCATGTTACACAGGGACTAGGGGTCACCCATGAAATTAAGAGACAGCAGGTTTCAGACAAACATACAGATGTCCTTCACACAATGCACAGTCAACCTGAGAGTTCCTGTGCTGGGCTCAAAGGCTCGATAAACCTTCGGGCACGGGGTCTGCTCCCTCCCCGTGCTGGAACTGAAGGTTTTATTCTTTTTATATTTCTATTTTAGGTTTAGTAATGTAGTGATGTAAGGTAATATAGATAATTATATTTAATACTGTAGTAAGTTAAATGCTTTAGTTAAGTATATATCTCCTCTATTTCCTTGTTCTAAAGTTTAGTAAGCTTAGTAAGTAAAGAGACAGGATCTCATATTGCGGCTATGTTAATGAGATTAGAAATATTGAAGGCCCGGGCCTTCATTGTGAATTGTTTTGATTTTAATTTTGCTTAAAATAAAACACGGCTGTTTACCTTTGAAGGATTCTGAGAGAAAGACTGTTTGTATGAATAAGATACAGTGTAAAGATCGTCAGTAGAGCCAGCTGGTCAATACAGAAGGGGAGAATGTGGGTTGAAGACAAACTGTAAAAGACAGACTGCGAAGAAACATATTGGCATCAGAAAAACCATCCGTGTGTAGCCACAGTCAAGAATTGATCAGATTGGCAAAAGTGACGGCTCTAAAGGTAAAGGGTGGGCACCCCTGAAAACAACTGATTAAATCCAGGACAGGATGAGCCTTTCAAGATGTTTTGGGAATAAATGTCAACATCAAAAGATAACAGTAACCAGTCACAGACTGACACAGAGAAATCCATAGAGGAGAGGATTATAAAAGCAGGGTGCCTTGCTATGAAACTTTGGGTTCATCTTGCCACCAACTCCAGAAAAGCATCGGATCGATCGACCGTCAAAGGCCCTGCTCTCCCTCTGTGTTCAATCTAGCTGGCCACTAGACTGATACAGAATCTGGACTGGTAACTATAGCATCATCTGGCAGGACCGTGTGTGTATGAAGTTTGTGTGTAAGTGATTAAAAAGCATATGCAACTGTTGCATTCTCAATAAATGCAGCATAGTGCCTTTTCCTCTATAAAAGATCTTGTGTGCTTTGTTTAAGCAGTAACACCCAGCCCCAAACCTCTCCCTCAGGTGGGGCAGGAGAGCTGTGCACAGGGGGCCTCTGTATCAATGGGGATTCCTGGGGGGGAAGGAGCTGTCCCATCTGTGCTACAATAAAAAGAGGAAGCCCCTGCAGCCCCCCAGCCCTAGGACACATGACCACAGCCCAGCAGTGCTGGGAGAGGTTTCAGAGACACCAGCAGAGCAGGGGCACCAGCCAGACATGAGAATACAGGGGCAGCTGCTGAGAGCAAGGGTCTGGGAGGGGAGTGAGGTCTAGTGGTTAGAGCAAGGGGGGCTGGGAGCAGGACCCCTGGATTCTATGCCCAGCCCCGGGAGGCAGAGGCCGGTGTGTGCTGCCAGGCAGACTGTTGCCAGCTACTGGCCGAGGACAGGACGCCCTCTCGCTGTCTCGGCATGAGTTCTGGAGGCAGCCGCCCACAGCTCTCAGGAATGGCCCCTGCTGAGGCGAGGCCTGGCTGGGCGCTGGGTGATCCTGGGCCCACGTGAGCAGCACTGAGAGCAGGTTGCCTGGTGTCTGGGTTTCGATGAGCACTGCTGAGCAGGGTGTTAAAAGTCCGGCAGCACAGAGGGGCTGAGACAGGCTCCTACCTGCCCCGGCTCCACACGCCCCCCAGGAGCAGCCACATTTCCCTTTCCAGCTCCTACACTTCGGGGCAGCCAAGGGGCTCCGCACACTGACCCCGCCCCATGCTGCTCTGCAGCTCCCATTGACTGGGAACCGTGGCCAATGGGAGCGGTGGGGGCGGTGCCTGCAGATGGGGCAGTGCACAAAGCTGTGTGGCCATGCCTGCACTTAGCAGCTGGAGGGGGACATGCTGCTGCTTCCAAGAGTCACCCTGCTTCCCGATGCTCTCCCTGTGTCTCAACCCTCTGCTCCTGCCCTGATCCCCCTCCTGGCTCTCAACCCCTTGGTCCCAGCCCAGAGCCCTGCTCCTGTCCCCACACTCTCATTTCCATTCCTGTCCTCATTCCCATCCTCTCCTGCACCTCAGCCCCCTCAGTCAGCCTGGGGAAAACGAGCATATGAACAATGGGAGGGGGCCTCAGAGAAGGGGTGGACGGGGCCAGGGTGTTCAGTTTTGTGGGTTGGGAACCCTACTGAGTGCTTGGCAGACGCAGGGAGTCACAAGTCATCTAACAAATTCAGCTTTTTATTTACATCTACGCAGTCGGGATGGCATGTGACATCCCCCCCCCCCCCCCCCCCGCACAGTCACCTGCAGGGAGCAGCCATCTTGCATCCCAGCCCCCCAGAGAGGAGGTGCAGCCCCACCCCAGAAATGGTGGGGTTCATCAGGAATGGCCCCTCCTTGGCTGGGGTTGGAGCAAAGAACTTGTAAACTCCTGCTCTGATGGCGGGGGAGGGCTGCCAGGGCGAGCTGTCCCGCTGCTAATAAGACACCCACCCTAGTGTGTGGCGACTTCGTGCTGCATCCCCTGGGACTGGGGCTCAGAGCCCCCAGAATGTGGCTCATGGTGGGGGAGGGGAATGCTCTGGGTGCCCTGAAATGGGACTCCCCCAAGCCATGCTCCCGCACAGCCACCCGCAGGGAGATGGAAGCTCAGAATTAAATGAAGGTGGGTGAACTATGGCCCATGGCAGCCTCCAAGTTCTTGCCTGGGGACACCCGTCCCCTGCTGATTCC